TGTTCTGAGTGTCTCCACTTTATTGTCTCACCTGCTGCACAGATTTCTCCTCTTAAACAGCGACAGTTGATCAATCTTGCAGAAGTTTTTAATGCATTATTTTTAAGACAAACTTCTCAAAGGGAAACAGCTGAAGGGTAAAGCTCAGAGGACTCGTTACCGTCTCAAAGTAAGAGGACAACTTATTTCTGTTTCGGCCCTGATATTAGGAGACGACACATGTGGAAGGGTAAGAGCCAACGCTGCAGCAGGAAGATCTGGGAACAAACTGAAAAGTGACTTTCCAAAGTTCAGACCTGATCCTCCCTCCAGCGAATGTCACTGTGATAAACCCTGAGCGGTGTTGGCTGTGAGAATCACACGTACAGATGCACTCGGAGCTTCTCCTCCAGCGTCTTTCATTAAAACAAAGTCTAAAACAACCTCGACGGGATTTATGAGCTCATACCATAATCAAACTGTCACATAATCCAACACGCTGACACGTCGGTGGCGAACGCCCTGATATTAACCATCAGTCAAGTCACACAGACATGCAGAATATCGAGCTTCCCAGAACGTCCTGGAGCTTCAGAGGGACATCAGAGACTCACCTGTGCACAACATTTCTATCTTGTTGAGGTTCATCTGTAGAGATTCGTTGATCCACTCTAACATGTCATGACGACTTAAGTTGTCGCTGGTCACTGAGGTCGAGTACACGTTCACAGCCATTGTCGGTCACCTGCTGACATGGAGTGGAGACACATTAAGACCATGAATGGGTCATCTGTTAGGAAGCGTAAATAACTCAGAGTAAATAACATCCTCTGGAGTTTTGAACACGACACCAGAAGCTCACGTCTCTTCTTCTCCTGATCATTCAGCAGTTTTCATATTCTGTGGAGAACAGGTTCGCTGTTTTCCTGAATAATAACAAGTTACACACCAGCTACAACTCTCATTTTCACTCCTGGAGCAGGAAAGGTGAGCTCTTTTCCTCAACAGCTGAGAGGGATACCTGAGGGCTGCACAGCTACTGTAGGAGAATTAACAACAATCCAACCTGGTAGACTGGTGCAAGAGATCCACACACATTCAAAAGTCATTTTTGGAACAATGTGGACCTAATCAGTTTGAGGGATTTCATTTAGATGAATCAGATTATAATGAGAAGAAAGGAGGAAACATTCAGTCCATTTTTGTTTGAAATAAGAGACAAAATCTAAGCAGGAAAAATCTAAAATCTTCTTTATTTCTAATCAAAATTAGACGTAGCAGGTCCAGATACTACGGTGGCTGAGAACTGCCACTGCTGCGAATAAAAAAAGAATGCAAAAAAAAAAAGAAGCCACAACAGATGTAACCGATACAAAAAAAAAATAATAATAATAATAAAAAAAGAAACCGAAGCTTGCTGCAAGTAAAAAAAGAAACAAAGAAGATAAAACAAAAAAAGCCACAATGAAAGTTATGGACGCAAAAAAATAAATAAGTGGTGATAGGAAAAAAAATTAAATGAAGTGGTAAAAAAGTGAAAATGCAAAAAACAAAAAAAGTTACTTACTTATTTTTGCATTGCCACTTTTTTTGTGTGTTGTTGACTTCCGTTCTGTGTTTTTTTTATTTGCACCGTTTTTCTTTTTTATTTGCAGGGGGCTTCAGTTTATTTTTTTTTTGCATTGGTAACTTCCGTTGCGACTTGTTCTTTTTTTTTTCTTGCATTCTTTTTTATTTGCAGCAGTGGCGGTTCTCGGCCACCGTAACATACAAATCTTATTTTCTCATAGTCAGTTTAGTTCTTGTTTTTGTCCTGTCACAATGATCCCTACAGCACAGACAGCCATTACTGGGGTGTGCAGAGATCATCTATACTGACAGAGAGGCTGTAAATATTCAGTCATTTTACCCTGATGGGTGACTTCACAGTCAAACTATGTTTTTACAAATACAATTTAACTCAATATTTAACCACCAAGACAGCATTTACTTTGGTATTACACACATGCATTTTTTGCCTAGTTCTCCATCCAGGATGACACAGGGATACAGAGATTTTCGGCGCCTTGGTGTTGATACTCGTTTTTCCGATTTTTCAGGTGGACCCTGAACTCACCGTTAGCTTCACTAGCTTAGCTTCACTAACGGGGGGGCTGCTTGACTGTCCGGGCATTGTGAGGGAATAATCGGACAAATAAAGGATGAGAGTTGAGGAAAGTATCAGGAACTTTCCCTCATATTTACACCTCTCTGTGACTCTGATAATAAGTCATATTTCAGCGGGTACTTTCAGCTGCTTCAGTCCCAGACTCGGAGACGGTTTCCCCGCCCTGAAACCTCCACACCGCCTCGTCGGCTTCAGTTAGCTCTATAGAAACTTCCAGAAACGCTTTGGGAGTTAAAAACAGTTATTTTAATCTGTGTTAGATTCACAAATGTCCTCTGAGTTTGTTCTAAATCAGGATTAATTTCACCGTTACAAGTTTCCATTAGAGCTAACTGAGCTTTAGCGGCTAATAAGGTCCAGTAATACCGACACTGACGGCGCGTTCACGGTCCGCTCACTCTACCTGTTCGGATTTCCTCTCTCAGCTCTCGGACTCGATGGTTTGATCGTCTGTTTCTATAAAGGCCTTAGTTCGGATCTCTACGAACTTCTTCTTCTTCTCCTTTTTTCTTCTCCTCCTCTCGGCACGTTCACTCTACCGGCAGCGGAAGAACCGTTGTGTGACGTCACGGCGTAACGGTCAACGCCTAAACGTAACGACGGCGAGTCCTGACGTTAGCGTGAGAACGTCACACCCATAGACTGTATAAAGAAACATATATAGATACAATTATATAGAATCATATATAGAGATATTAATATATATAGAAACATATATAGATACAATTATATAGAATCATATATCGAGATATTAATATATATAGAAACAAATATATAGATATCAATATATAGAAACAGGTGTATAGATATAAATATATAGAAACATATATAAAGATATTAATATATAAAAACATATAGATATAAATATAAAAATAGAAACATATATGTATATATATATACAAATATATAGAGTTATATATATAGATATAAATATATAGAAACATATATATAGATATGAACATATAGAAATATATACATAGATATAAATATATAAATAGAAACATAGATATATACATATTTAATCATATGCATATAAATATATAGAATTAAATATATAGATATAAATATATAGAAACATATATATAGATATGAACATATATAAATATCGATATAAACATATACAGCATACAGAAAAATAATTTATATTTAGATCAGTGATCCTCCTCTTGGGCATAATGAGAAGTTTTGAGGATAAAACTTAAGCTAATGAATAAATTAGATGCTATGAGGTTTCTACAAGCAAAACTCATGAAATACAGAGGGTATAACAACTGTGCTCTCATAGTAAATAACACTCGCAGTAGAAAAGAAGGACAGTGTGGTCATTTCGAGTGGTATTACTTTTATTGGTCCAGAGTAAAAAATAACTCTGCCAAATATATACACAACAAGATGAGTGACAAAATTACCCAAGCACAGTCAGCAAGTGTACACTCAAATATTTATCCATGTAGAAAAACGACATTTCCCTCTTTTTTTAGAAGACGGTAAAGACTTGTTCAAACCTCAGAGTGTTTTCGTACAAAAATACTGAACAGCCACACTTCAAACCAATTTTAGAAACAATAATCAGTCAGAACAGGAAGGAATCTTTGACATGATTTTCTTTCAGCACAAATATTTTACAAACACTTAAAAAAACAAGGTAAAAAAATTATTCACTCTCTCAGTACAAACCGAGTTTAAATGGTCGAGTTGAGAAGGCAGCAGAGTATCAGTTTAACACTTCCTTCAGAAACAAAGTGAAGTTATCTTTGGACCAGATGTTTCATGTAAAGACACAAAACAGTCAGCACCGCGTCGAAAATGACCCGTCGGGTTTTTGCTTCTTTTACGTCCACTTTCACTCAGATACAGGGAAAGTGTGTCTTCAAAGCTGTATCACCACAGCAGCATATAGACTCATGAAGGGTTTGAGTCCGGAACAGTTTTCACAGTTTAAACAAAGTGTCAGTGCGCGCACACACACACACACACACACACACACACACACACACACACACACACACACACACACACACACACACACACACACAAAGATACAGCACCAGTATAACAACAACAAAGTACAATTTAACGCACCCCATGATGAATAAAAGTCAAAATCTGGTTAGACGACAATGTAAAAAAGGTGTGACCTGTAATAATGAAGTTAATATTCATGATAAGTATTAAAATGAAGTTGATGTGTTTTTTGGACTGGGCAGGAAAGCAGGTGAAGTCGATGTAACCTCAGCCGACAACAACACACTTTACTTTTCAGAGTATGAAACTGAAACGTTTCCTCAGACCATAAAGGTCCGAACACTTTCCTCTTTTGACTCGGCCTTTAAACTCGATTTAGCAGCTGGTTGTTGGTCAGTAGCAGCAGAAACAAATACTGAGGGTTTGGAAATATTGAGACACACAGACATCAGTCCTTTTTACACCGCAGATTTAAGAAGTGATATTTACGCCTCGCCTTTAAAAGGGATACTCCGGCCTAAAAATAATTTAGGTTCAAACCCACCATAACACCATCCCTTTATATGTCAGAGGCGTGATGTTGGGACCAGCCCAGGTGAGAGAGGATCGATGTGAACTGCAGGTACAGGGTGATGTGTGTGTGTGCGTGTCTCAGTTTGTGCATGTGTGTGTTTTCCTCTCCACGGTGACGTCACACTCTGATGAGACCTGCAGATCTTCTCCTCATAGAACTGCTGCTGATTCTCGACAGAAAACAGCCGCCCTCCTCTATCTTATCTGCAGTTCTGGCGAGGCAGGAGAGGACGGAGAGGTGGAGGAGGTGGAGGAGGTGGAGCTGGTCAAAGGAGGCAGCTCCTCACACGAGAAATAGTCCTTCAGAGGAGCGAAGAGGTGGCGGATGACGGGGACACTCCACGCCTTCCCTAACACCTTCTGTCTCAGCTGCCGGTTCATGTCCTTCACATCCGTGTAATGTTTGGGGAAACCGAAGATTCTGGTGATGAAGACGAGAGAAAAGAAGCACAGAGGATAAATACGAGTTTGTAGAAAGGGCAAAAAACAGACGGATGAAAACACGCACTTCTCCAGCTCAGTGATCCAGAGGTTGTCTTCTTTGCCGTTGTAGAGGACAGGCAGCAGAGAGACGTCTTTGCCCTGCTTCAGAGAGTTTCTGTTGGTGGTGATCGTCCTCACTTTAGTGACCTGAAGGAAAATCCACAAAGTTTAAGAGGAGGGTCTGAAAATCCTCTAAACTAAATCCTGTGGGTTCGCTCACTCACCCTGGCTTCTCTCCCGGTCTCCAAACACTCCTGCAGAGTCAGCTTGTCGTTCTGAGAGGCGGCGATGGGTCTGCGAAATATAAGCGACCATTTCTCAAGGTTAAAAAAGGTCATGATGAAGAAAGAGCGAAACAAAAGAGCGTAAAAAACAAGTAAACATCACAGATGATAAAGTGTTTGGTCTCCACAGATAAATCGTTTGGTTTGGATTATTCTGATCTTGTTTTTCGAGAATGATTAAAGATCTTACCTGCTCATTCCCGGGATGTTTCCCCAGAAGCAGCGAGCTCTGTGTGCAGGACTGACGCTGACTGCATCCACCAGCACCGGGTTACACTGACGAAGCAAAGACAGAGCAGGTTAAAAGGGAAGAGGAAGAGACACAGGTGGAGAGGGTCGGGTCGGGTCAGAGCCAAGAACCTCGAGGAAGCGGCAGATGTTGACTTTGTCGTGATTGTTCATGAAGACCACGTTCTCAAACAGCCAGAAGAACGGCCTGGGGTCCTCCTCTTTGGGCTTCAGCAGATGAAGGATGCGGTAGAACTCAAAGAACAGCCTGCCGGTGCCCTCTGCAGGAGAGAGGAGAGAATTACAGTTAAAAGTCGAGTCCTGTTCCTCTTTAAAACTGTTTTTTTTTCTATTCTTCTAAACAGGAAGAACTGGCTCCTTTCTACGAGGAATGAAACCGTTCGGACTTAAACCTGCTGATTATCATCACAGTTACTGGAGTGGAGCACCTGGACTCTAAAGCTACTCACCATAGAGGCCTTTTCTGTACGGGTTGACGATGGACAGGTCGTTACAGGGGCTTCCACCGATCAGCAAATCAAACGGACCCCACTGCTTCAGCTGGACGGAGAAGAAAAGAGAGACTTCAAACTCAAACAGAGATTCTACAGAGAGTCATCAGGCGGGTTATCAGGTCAGCTGAACGCACGTGCTGCTCTGTGATAAATCGAGCGTCTCCAACGTGCATGATCTTCCCGTCATGGTTGACCGCTGCCACCGCTAACGAATCCTCGCAGACCTCAGAGGCGACGTACGTCTCGACTTTAAAGCCCAGATCCTTCAACACCAGGTAACCTGGAAAAGAAACAGCAGAGACGCTTTGACACGCAGAAGGAGTCGGGTACAGAGAAGGGAGGCTTTGGAAAACAGAACCTCTCTTTGGTCAGTGGAGAAGCTGGTCGGTGAACTCACCTGTTGCTATGCCATCAAACAGTGAGAGGACTCTGATTGGTCTGCGCAGGCTGGCAGGAATAGACGGGTAAACGCGGTGAGGCTCCTACAAAATAAAAGGTCATAAAACAGTGAGACTGAGGGAAAACTGATGATCGATGCTGTAAAAACAAGTTTAAAGTGATTGGTTGATTCATTGATCACCTGACTGTGAGATAACCTGCTGATTTGTCAGCTCGAATGTTTCGTACCTGTGCTGCTTTAAGCGGACACAAAGATTCCACTTTCTATCTGAACAGAATTACACCAAGATACCGAAGAAAAGGTGAAAACTACAGGAAACTCCAAAAGGACATGGATGCAGGTTTGCTATCAGCTTCCATTAAAATTGACCTCTAACAGATCATGTTTGTCCTGAAGTTTGTCAGGTTTTAATTAAAAAGATAAATAACTGAAAGCTGACAAAATACAGATTGAGCGAATCACATTTACCCAAACTGAACCTGAGAGTATCTGCTGGTTACTCACAAACTCCATGGCGCTGTTGTTGGCGAATAACTCCTGCACACGGACGCTCCAGTCCTCTCTGGGGATGAGAGCTCCATGAGGTCTGTGAGGCTGACACAGGTAACAAATCCACGGGTCCTTCTCCTTCAGCGCGTCAAACGTCCCCAGACCGACGAGGATGTCCAGACAGTCCTCGCAGTAAGACCTGCGAGCGGAGGAAAAGGAGAGAGAGCGATGATTAAAGGAAGAGAAACACTCCGTTCATTTTCAGACAGCAGGGTTCGAGTATGTGACGTTACACGAACCTGCTGCAGCTGTCGTTTCCACACAGGATGACCTCTAGGCCGTAGCAGCAGATGGTGCAGTAGGACTGATAACCGTCGTCGTCGTAGCGGTACAGAGTTTCTGTCAAGTTGTCCTGCAGGAGCACAGACACTATTTCAGTTCATCTGCTGCTAACTGAGAGACCAACACTTCTGGATGATTCCTTACTTTACACTTGGTGCACAGGCCGCCTTTAAAGAGCGGGTGGAGAGTGTCGATGTCTTTGGTGGCACAGCACAAACAGAACTCTGCAGAAACACGAAACAGACGGAGACACGACTGAGGAAGAGATGACCGAGGGACTGATCTGGAGTCATGACGGATCTGATGATGTGGCACAATAACAGGAAATACAAACTCCAAAACTTTACAGCCGAGCGCTCACCCTCAATGTTCAGACTCTTGGCCAGAATTTCACGGATGACCTCCTCTGTAAGGAGAGAAAGGAGCAGCGTTAGCAAACTTATCACTAACATCTGTGTTTACAAAGGTATTAAAAATCTGACGATGTTTAGACCTCGAGGAGATTCGTTACTCGATCACAGGTAATGACGAAAAATTCAAGAAGGTTTGTGGACCTTGTCTGGACCACATTCAGAAACTCTCGTCATTTTAATCAGCGCTCTCCTCTTCAAGTTCTTTTCCTTTTGAAATATTTATCTGTGATGTTTTATAATCATACTGTTTAACGTGTCTACATTTGTATTTCTCTTAACATACAGAAGCTCATTCAACTTATTTTCTTTTTACTTTTTATTTCTCAGCGTCTTATAAATCTCAGGATCTACTAAACCTGAACTCCAGCACTGACTTGTTTTTTGTTTTATCTCCAGAATTTGTCATTTAAACACAGTAACAGGAATATCCTGCGGTAGACAGGGAGGGTGTTTGTGACGCGTTTCCTTTGTATCTTGGTCTCTTAAAAGAGCTGCTCTGTATTCATCTGTATAAAATCTAACGATGTGACTAAATTTCAGACTTTTATCCTTCAGCGCCATCTTGTGGTGTGTAAATACTCTGAAACTAACCCACAGGTGACGCTTTAGTTTATATTTTTTAAAGAGGAAGAATCTACCTCGGACGTCCTGGTCGGGTTGGGTGTAAACGCCGCTCGGCTGCTCTGCTTTGTTATAAGTCTTGGTGACGGTCCTCCTCTTAGTCACAGGCACAAAGTCTGGAGACACGTCCGTATCAAACACATCAAACGGGTTGATCTTCTTCTGTTGGACCTTCCCTCCTCTCCAGCCTCCTCTTCCTCTCCCTCTCCCCGACCCCCCTCCAAACTCATCCCTGTCTCCCTCTCTTCCTTGTCTCCCCGTCTCCATCCCTCCTCGGGGTTTCGCGCCTCCTTTGGAGAATCTTCCCGCTGAATCGAACTCCTCCTCGCCGGCTGTTTTACTGTTCCTGTATGTGGAGGAGTCTTTTGGCTCGGAGGTCGGACTGCTGATCGATGAATCAGAAGGGGAGGAGAGGTGAGGAGGAGCGTTTGCTTTCAGGATCGGTGTCATCTTCACCGTTGGTCTTTGAAGAGGGTTGTTGACAGCATCTAGAGATGAAACAAAGACACACATATTCTTTAAAACTGAGGATGCAGCATCTATGAATTCTGATTCTTCGTTGAAACGTCTCAAGTAAGTCCAGTTGTCCTTTTCTACTTGGAAAGTCGGGAGCGCAGAAACGTCATTTGTGACATCCTGTAGTTTTTCGTGGCGAATCAAATCATCACACCCGTCTGCCTCTGATCGGCTCATAAAGATCAATAAAGCGATCGGATTCATGCTCAGATCTTACTGAGGCGCTGAGCTGAAAATCGTTTGTTACGGTAAAACTTACCTGTGAAACCTGTAACATCTGGATGGCAGCAGATGTTGTTCCTAAACCTGGAGATATTGTTCAGCGTTCTTAACTGAACAAGGAAATATAAAGAATTTTAATTTATACCGTTTGGGTCCCCCGTCGGTTTGAATCCATCTGGACCCGTAGGTAGAAATCCTCCAAAGGCCCAGTCTAACATCTGTTTCAGCTGTTCGTCTTTGTCGGTGAGATGTGCAGGAAACTGTTTCTTACAGCGCAGAGCCGCCTCCTTCAGACACAAACACAGAAAAATAAGGAGGAGAAGGAGGAGGAGGAGGAGGAACAAACAGATGAGAGACACTCTGAGAGACTCACAGACCTGCAGAGACACAAAGATGGCCTCTCTGTAGGTGAGAAAGACGGCGAAGGAGTTGGTGCAGAAGAGCTTGGCGAAGGCGGCGAACGGTTTCAGGTCTTTCACACTGACCTGGAATCAGAGACGAGACATCAGAGCGGAGAGACAGAGAACAAAGAGAGACATTTTTCATCGCAGAGATGTTTATACATCCCACAGTTAGTAACCCATCACTCTTTTTCAGGACATCTAAAAAACTGAGCCTCTGTTCTCTGGAGATATCGGGAAACTCGTGTGTGAGTGTGGAGATGATACAGGACAGTGAAACTAAAGATTCACTTCCATCTTCCTGGACTTTAACTCGGACTCACCTGAGAGGACATATTCTGTCCATACCACCAAACTGTCCTCTTTCCTGGCTGTCCGCTCTCTGTGGAGGAGACGACGGCCGGCCAGGAAGCAAAACCGTCTGCAGCGGCCCAGACCAGCTCCCCCTGAGTAACACAGACACACCTGAACTCAACCAGAGGAGGTTCTGAAACTGGACTAGAGTTTCATTCTTATTCGATATTCTTCAGGACAAACGGGACACTCAGAGGTCAGAAGGTCAAATCTTTTACCTGCTCATAGGTCGATCCAGACGGGAGGCTTTTTGAAACCTTGTGGTCGTCGTCATCACTCACTGGAACCATGTCGCCGCCGGCATCTTCGTCGTCGTTGTCATCGTCGTTGTCGTCATCCACTTCATCGTCACCCACTTCATAAACAGTCTCTGCTGGTAAACCTTCTGTAAAAAAGAACATTTAAGGACTAAATAAAGTGCTCTCACAGATTCAGGTAAAGTGTGTGACATTAAAACTGATTTTATTAGAAATTAATCAATTCTAATGTCTCTTATATGAACAACAGTCTTTCTGTTTTTGTGAAACTAGATTAAAAACACTTTTCTTACGCTCTGCGTCGACCACTTGGATTTTGGGACACAGTCTGGAGGCTTCTGTGACTTCGACCACGTCTGAAGATTAAAGAAAAACACATTTATTAACACTGTGAGCATCAAAACACAGAATACAGAGAGCAGTCAGCGGTCTGACCGGAGGAGTTGTCGGTGTAGTCCGAGTCCTCCATGGTGTTGTGATGTTGGAGAGGGATCTGCAGAGTGGTTTTGGGTTTATCCTCCTCCTCTGATGAAGTCTCCTCAACGCCACCAAGGCCAGCGTGACTGGGAGTCCTTTTGCGCACGCGGCGTGTTCCTGCACTCCTGCTCGATTCAGGTAAGACTTTGAGGGGATCGTGGGCCCTGACCTTCAGACCAAAGCAAACAAACGGTGAATTATTCCACAAAAAGCAGAACTTGGACTGAAAGCTGTGTGTCTTGAACAGTTTCTATCGTCACAATCGACTGAAACGGCACAGATCCTGAACAGCGGCGGGTTTTTCTCTCACCTTATCAAACACTTTGTTCCTCTGAAGAGAGCTGGGCATGGCGAGGAGGGTCAGGATGAGTCTGTGCAGCGTGAAGGACGGATCGATGCGCTGTAAGATCTGTACGGAGAAGACGGGGAAGTTTGATTCTGCAGAACTGAAAATACTCGTTCACAGAGAAACTAAAACCACATCAAACCATCTGTTTTCTGTTTACCTTCGGCCATGTTTGACCTTCTTTTATACCACTCCGCCGGTTCTTCCGTAACGTCGCCATGACCCGGACGTAATCCTTCATCAGCAGCTGGTCTTCTTCAAACCCAAGATCTGGCAGTAAGGAGTTTGGAAATTTGCAATCCTGGAGGGAAAACACAGACTAAGAGGTTAAAAACGAAGAATTGTTTTTAAAACATTTCAGACAAGAAACAAAACAGTCGGGAGAGGAGCGTGTTCACCTCTTCTTCTAACGACAGGATGGAAATGTTTGGAAACAGGAGATCAGCGTCTGGAGTTTGAAGAGTTAAATGTCGTCTCACTCTTACACAACAGTTTTATACTTGTGTGATTTGTTTTCAAGACGGGACTGCAGGACGGATCGACATTTAACTTCAGATACAGACTTTTAGAACACTTTTTAGAGGTTAATTACAGTGCAATATAGGTTAATTATCACACGACTGTTTCGTGTTTTATACACCCCCTAAATGTTCCTAAAACAGGCACAATGTTAAATCTTAACTCCTCATTTACAAGTCTTTAATCTAAGAAAACTTACCTTCGGGTCCTCTGGGTGTTTCAGTATGACACTAATATTCCTCAGTGCCTCGTCTCCGAGCTGCTTAGGAAGACTCCCGGCCAAACTCTCCAGTGTTACTTTATAGAAAGTTACTGCGTGACCCAAGAAGTCGCTCCTCTCCTGTTCACCCAGATCCACCACAGCAGTGGCCCACAGGAAGTCTCGAGCGGGGCCGATGTCAAGCTGCGACTCAGCGAGGATGTTCCTGTCATCGCGGAGGATCGTCAGCTCTCGACTCTTGACGAAGCTCGCTCTCACCGAGGGGACGAGAATCCTGGATGCGTAGCTGTGAACGAGCATCGCGGCCATCTTCAGCTGCGCGGCCACATCCGCAGAGTCTTGCTGCTGAAATTCCCGCAGAACTCGAAGAGGCTCCAGGGCGTGTGAAAGAAACAGAAAGTGCAGCTTGACTTTATGATCCATGAGCTGTGTTTTGATCTGCAGAGCTCTGTATGTCGACTTCACTGACTTGAAATACGCCACCAAAGCCCTCCAGGCTTCTACCATCCTCTGCACAGAGAGAACCATGAACAAGAACTGCTCAGAGATCTGACTGGAGGGGTCATAAGACCCTGAGTTAGCAAAGAGACGTTTGAGAGTCTTGTTTCCAGACGAGTAGGTGGAGTAATGGTGATGAATGTTTTTGATCAGGTCGACCACGTCCTGAAAAGAAGCCGTGAGCGCTGCCTGGCAGGCTCTCTCTGCCATCCCTGAGAGACCGCAGAGTGACAGACACTTGTGGTTGACGGCCTGGAGCACCGACACCAACCCCTGACTGAGGTCTGGATTTGGAGCGCTGCAGTAGAACATGGCGAGGTTGGAAGAGCGAAGGCCGGATTTCTTTAACCTGTCAATCAGAAGGCGTGCGTCCGGATTCTCGATCCCTGAGTTTCTGACTGAGCTGATGTCCGTGCTCGCCGGGGTGTCGACGCTCATCTGCATGGTGAGCAGCGGTCTTACAGCGCTGACCCCTAAGCTCTTGTCAAAGTAACCGACCAGGACGACGCTCGTGGTCTGTCCTTCACCTAAATCCACCCCCGTGTACAAGTAGAGGCAGTACGGCGTCTGACAAGAGGCCTGGATGATGTCGGCGGGGTGTGTGGGACTCAAGATCGCAGGTTGAGTGTCTTTGGTGTCTGAATCATCGCAGTATCTCCTGATGAAGCGCAGCAGAGAGTCATTACAGTTCAGACGAGTCCTGAGGTTTCCCGGCGTCATCTCCTTCGTTTGACCACAAACATCCTTTAAACTCGTCCCTGTTTCCTGCTCTGTGGTCACGTCTATGATGTCGTCTTCGTCTGACGTCAACACAATCACACCGCCGTTCTCCTTTACATCCCTCTGAGCTTTTTCTTTGCTTTGCACTTTCTTTGTCGGGCTGTTTTGTCCGATCTTTACGGCGATCACTGAGGTCTGGTCGGGGGTTTTGGAGGAGTCACCACCTGAAAATACGGATCAAAGAAAAGATTTGATGCAGCCATTTTTTTCAGACATTAGAATTATTTTGTTTTGTTTTTGTCCTTTAGTTACAGAAAACAACACAGTGAATCTTTCCCCTTCTACCTCAAATACACATTTTCTCCTAAAAAGGCAAAAATGCTCAAAATCTCACTTTGAAACAAAAGAAAAAACGTTTTTCTCCGGATACACTCATGACTACGGTGGGATTAATGCACAGAAACACACTGACTGCTCCCACCTGAGTTAACAGGAAGCATCCTCTGTCCACCTCTGGCCTTCACCGGATCGTACTCCCTGCTCCCTTGTTTCTTCTCAAAGAGCTGCTTAAACCAGTGAATGAACGCCAGACCAACGAGGGGGTTCTTCTCTGTCAGCGTCTCGATGTTGACGTGCTGGAGAGAGAGAAAAAAAGAGGGCTGAAGTCTCCTACAGAAGTTTTAAATAATATAGGATGTCCTAGTTTTTGTTGTTTTCACAGCTGAACATTCAAACTGCATCCAGTTGTTATTTATTTAACTTTCTCATAGGATAATATCCTTTTCTATTCGACAGTGTCTTGTTGATTATCAGCCTCTAAACAGGGACACATTCAGTTCTGTAATCCTTTAATGATTTTAACAGGTAAGACTCTGGTTTTCAAGTCCTCCACCTCTTGGTTAACAACACTCACTGAGATCACTCCGGCATGTTTGCACGCAGCCTTGAGTAATCCTAAATTGAGACGAGAGTCTGAAATGTCGTCACTCTGGAAGCGGACCTTGGAGAGATCCAGAGACCCGGGAAAACACCAGTCCATCAGCTGGCAAAAGGCTGCACCTGGAAACCAGACAAACACGAACAGAAGAGTTAAAGGTGGGGTTTCTGTTAAAGAAGCATCTTTTTTTGTGGTGTTTTCTCTGGATCAGAGAAACACCGAAAGAATACAGTCTGCATTCTCACTTACCTGAGCACACCTGCTCCACTTTGGTGTAGTCTGTCTGTAAAGTTTTATTGAGCCAGGTCAGCAGCTCATGGGAGTTTAGCGCCACCCCTTGAAGGAAGGGCACATTCACAGCCACCTGGAAGTCCATCTTGAGGGACGGACCTAAACACACACATCATACACACCTCAAAAATATGTTTTACAGAAGAACCAAAGCATACACTGACCCTGAAACTGTCACAATAATTTCATACTGTGTTTTTTTTAGTTTATATGATGTGAAATAAATCCAGGGGAGTTTTTAAGTCTGGTCCTACATGCCAAACATCATTTCAGTGTAACTGCAGGTATTTCTGTCGCTTTACTTTGATGGTATCAGTTCCTTTCTCCAGCACAACAGTCCTGTCTGCGCCCGCTGAGAAACACAGGACAACTCCAAGCCTGCTTCACCACTCGAGATACCTGGACCATCCTCTTTGGAGAGTATAACACAGATACAACACCAAATATCCTGCTGAGGGGACTCCTGATCCAGCCCTGACACATCTGCTCTCTGGTTCGTCATAGTAATCCATCATCTCCACCTTAAGCAGAGTTAAATCACATGATCCATGATCGTTTATTTTCTTCCACGTGTTGTCTCTTCAAGTAACCGCGGGACAAAACAGCTGATCTTCTTCTTCTTCTCGATGTTTCTGAAAGTGAGTTAACAACTTTCTGTCGCATTACCGCCGCCAAGTGGTCGAATTGTGCAGATTTAAACAGTCCAGTAGGTGGCGGTAATGTGGCAGACGACAATAATACAGACAAATAAATAACCAAATCAACCCCAAAAGTTTTCCAGAAAGGTCTATTTTTCTAGATATAACACCAAACCGGATCATACATTGAAGTCCCCAAAATTTGAAGACATCAAACAACTTTAGATTTATTTGTTTCATGTCTATAAAAATGCTAAACAACGATGAAAAAAGTCCCGGAGGAGAAAAAACGTGAATCGAAGTAATAAAGACGGTGATGGTTCACACAAACATGTCATGAAGGCAAAACCAAGAGCACCAAAACCAAAGCTTCGTGTTACCTTTCACGGTTAGAGCACGTTCAGAGGAATAAAACCTACTTCAGGAAGAAAAACTCGTGATTTACACGGCCAGAATTAACGAAACAAACCGGATTATTGACGGTTTATCTCAACTAAACGTCACGGTGTCGGACAATAACAAAACCATTGTTGACGTTTCCTCTCATGTTCTCACAATAAGACAGCCAAATCTTTAAAACTCTCATTTGAATCAGCTTAACTTTTTAACTCAGACAAACATTTGTGACTACTTGTACTACATGAAAACATAAGGGCGTTATCTCGCAGTACAGCTAATTTAGCCAGTTAGCATCACTTTCACTGCGCTATCACGACCATTAAAACGCCGCGGATTTTCACGTAATTTAACGATAATGCACTCCTACGGTAACGAGTTTCACATCGTTGAAATAACATCAAGTTTAACCGAGTTTAAAAGTTAAACACATGTATTATTTATTCGGTGTAAACTTCTCCACTCACCCCTCTCTCCGTGTTGTTGTTTGTGGGGTTTTGAACTCCTACTAGCTCCCCAAACCCCCCCGAACCCGCTCTGCGAGTAACCGCCCCACTGACTCTAAATAACGTTTAATATAACATTTAAATATCTATATTATACCTACAATGAGACAACCGTTTTATTTGAGTTATGGTTATAAAAAATAACTCAGGTATTTAAAGCTAACTAACATAATTTGCCCACAAGCACAGAATTAAAGTCATACTGTTGGCATCCTGTGCTAAGTAAGCTAACAGGTTAGCAGAATCAACAGTTGTCATAAGCTAGCTTTAGCTCTCTTAAGTGTGGATATCTTGTATTTCATACTGTTATTTATTTTTTTGCAAACCAAGGCTATATGGGATCTAATGTAAATGTTAAAACTATCATTTCAGCTGTTTATGAATTATATTGCAAAATTTTCAAAGCTGATATAACAATAACATGACTGGTCCAGGTGCAAAAATTTTAGCCTAGCGTCACGTAATAAGCTTCTTCCGATCCATTCCCCACTAAAATATTACTAAGTAATATACCAACATAAAAAATAAAGTATTAAAATAACACAGAATCTGTTCTTTTAAACATGTTTGCGCTGTAGATTCTACAAAATGCATCTACCTGTTAGCTAAGTAAGCTAACAGGTTAGCAGAGTCAACGGTTGTCGTAAGCTAGCTTTAGCTCTCTCAAGTGTAGATCTCTGGTATTTTATACTGTTATTATTATTTTTGTTTTTATTTTTTTTTTTTAAACCAAGGCTATATGGGATCTTATGCAAAATTTAAACTTATCAGTTCAGCTGTTTCAGAATTTTATTGCAAAATTTCGCAGCTGATATGACATTGACATGACCGGTCCAGGTACAAAAACATTAGCCTAGCGCAGAGGTCGGCAACCCGCGGCTCTGGAGCCGCATGCGGCTCTTTCTTCCCTAAGCTGCGGCTCCCAATGGATTTGGAAAATAAATAATAAATACTTAATTGCATTTTATTTTATTTTATTATTATTATTATTTTTTGTAATTCTAAATTCAAAGATTATAATGCTCTTGTAACATTAAATAAACTATTAAGGCTGCAACATCGAATCGATTAAGTAGATTCGTCGTGACGAAAAAATCCGTTGCCAACAAATTCTGTAATCGATTCGCCGGGTCTTTATATATGTCCATGGACACCGGCGTGTAAACATCAGCAGGACGCACAGAAAAGAAACAGCCATGGCCGAGGCAGCGGCTGAGAAAAACATGGACACAACCCAACCCAAATCCCGACCTAAAACATCAGTGGTGTGGGAAAACTTCACCAAGACTGAAAAGGAAGGCGTTCAGTGCAACATTTGCAAAGACCATTTTGCATGGCTCGGGAGTACATCGATGATACGTGAGCACAGGGCTCTCAAGTCTCACGCATTCAGCGTATGACACACGCATTCCCACTCGTTCACACGCTCACACACCACACATTGTATTTCTCACGCATTTAAATGAACACGGTGATGTCCACCAAGTTGCACTTCTTCAACTATGGGACTGGGGGAAATCAACTGAGTTCCTCCGAGAGTTCAGAAGCTGCGTGCCACGCACAAGCCAATCAAATAAAGTATATCTACTGAACAGCCAATCAAAAAGCAGCATTGCTGTATCCGGGTAGATTTTGATATCTTGCGGTTTAACTACAGAAGAAGACAGACACTCGCCGAAATAGTTCATTTATTTCATAAATGCAACTCGCAACAGTTTTTTATATACTTTGTATAAAGGAAAAAAAAAAGATAAATGCAATGTTATCTTCATTTTAGATGTCAAAGAGGTTTTGTGGCTCCCTGTGTTTTCTTTTCTGTGGGAAACTGGTCCAAGTGGCTCTTTGAGTGTTTAAGGTTGCCGACCCCTGGCCTAGCGTCACACAATAAGCTTCTTCTCGTCCATTTTCCACTAAAATATTACTATATGTGCTGTAATTAAAACATGGGGTTCATTGTTAAGACCCAGCAAAGTAGTTAAGGTGACACCCCTTACCATCAAAAATTTTATTTTACTTTACTGACTTATGGTATTTTTTTAGCTGCACAAGTTGTGTGAGATTGTTGAGTTAATGTTCAAAATTAGATATACTGGCCTGAAACAGGCCAACCAATTTCTCTTAAATAGTTAAAGGATAAATTGTACCGTAGTTGTTTCTTTTTTGTACATATTCTGACACACAGAATGGACCACAATTATCACACACAGGACACAGAGCATTTTTCCAACAGCCAAGCTGTGTTTTATTGAGTGATATCATATATGGGTTGCTATAAGAAGTATACCAACATAAAAAATAAAGTATAAAAATAGCACAGAATCTGTTCTTTTAAACATCTTTGCACTGTAGATTCATCAAAAGGTAAAAGAAATAATCCTAAAATGTTATTCTCATCAAAGATAAATCCCAAAAATGTTTTAGTTAAAACTCAGACATCACTCACAAATCTACAAAAAACACTCATCTACATGACACAAATAATACAAAAGCTATTGATTAATATGCTCTATGTTGTGCTATAACATTAAAAATTTCAAGCAAGCTTTATAATGTGTAAATATACTGTATAATATTCTCAGTATAAAAGGTTTTAAAAGAGCAGTTACTAAAAGATAAGAAAACTACTTTTTTGTTTAAAGCAAAACATTCAGCAGTATTAGTGAAGCATGTAAACAATTACTTTTTGGTTTTTAAAGGACTTTAACATCAGATTAGAAAAGAGGTTTCCATTGGCACTGTCAGCACCATTTCTTAATAAAAAATTCTTTCAGAAGGCTTGTGCATTTTGTTTTGTTATTGGCCCAAAAGACAGTGAAAACACTTGTAAACCTTTCTACCAATACAGTACACAAAAACATAGTAAAAATAGTTCCAGTGATAAAAATAAAAGCTCTATTTACAGGGCATATGGGAGCAGAAAGCTACAGTATTTATTCACAGAACAGAGATCCTACAGGAGGAGTGATGTACAGGTGCCCCCTTTTCTGAGGTAATGCCCATTTTGTTTGATTTGGTGACAGCCAACAGCATTTGAAAATCCTCCAGGTTTCAAAAGAAAAAGACGATTTGTTTAAAAGACTGAGTTTTTGTGAGTTTGGTCCACTGGTTACAGCAAGAAAATTGGTACCAAAATTGTCCAGTAAAAAGTTCTGTATTTCTGGTGAACATGCACAGACTTAGATAGACAGTATGTCATGTATCCACATGGAAAAAAAGGACTAAATATCCAATTCAGTTATTTTACAGATTACAGAAATAGTACAGATCTCTAAACTTTGGAGGGAATAATTCTAGTCATTTAAGAGTAATGTTTTTTTTCTCTGTTAAACTTGGGCCTTAAATTTACAAATTCTGAATTCTTATCCACAAATATGTACACTCATTTAGGAAACTGCTTTAATAGACTGCCACTAACAGCTGAACTGACTGAAAGTGTGTGTGTTTTTTTTTTTAACAGCTGTTTCTGATTCTCGCTGCTGGATAATCCTGAATATAATCTATAATTATACACATTTTCCCTGAAGGACGTCACAGCCAGTGAAACTTTTTTTTTGTATCTGTCGACTGAAGCAATTTACTAAAGCAGTGCCAGAACTTTTTGTCATTTGACTTTAAATAATATCTATATATTTTTTAGAGTTTTGGTTTCAAACTTTTGGGATAATTCTGTAAACACACAGTATTTTGTGTAACTGCATAAAATCTTCCAATTCCTTTTCACTTTTAAAAAGGATAATGACAGATTTGGGGGTCTTACAAATTCGACATGTCATATGTTCAAGGTTCAGACGATTGTTTTCTCACTTTGAGGTCTATCAGAATTACTATAATACTTTCTGACATACTGTTTACCGAAGCTGGTGCATCCCACAGAAGAAAACAGCGTTAAGAAGCTTCATACAGATGTTCAAAGCTTTCTGAGGTTGAAACAAAAGTAGTCAGTGCTCGTTTCCAAAAATAAAAAACACATTCACCAGTGTTTCCCACCATTTTCTGTTATTGCTCATACAGCTGTAAAACCACATCTGAACACCCTTTCCTGATTTTTAAAGTAGCTCCTCATTTTTTCTAAAAGCGTCACACGTGGAGACGCTGATAACAGTGAACTAGAGCTCCACTATCTTGAAGTAAACTCTAAACATCTACAGTAGGATAAACACCATCAACTACTACATCTCTGTTTCTGTTTTTTTCTTTTTTTTGCACTGGATTGTTTCAAGTATTTGAATTATAAAAGTTTAACCCAAATCTTTACTACACAAAAACATTCCCATATAATCTTTTATAAGTGTTTTTTTCTGCTATTTTGCTCATATGAACTGAAACAAAGACAAATAAAGTAAACTCAAGATTATTTTCAAACAGAAAAATATAAACCTATCCAAATCCTGCTTCATTTCCAGGTTAGCTTAGCTCCACTAGCTTCCAGCTCTGAATAAACTTCCCTCAAAACACCAATCTGATTACAATTTTAATTTTAGTAACTAAATCCAAATAGGAATAAACTTTTTAAGGCCAGGAAACATTTTAGCACATGATCAGTTTGCGGGTCATGTGAACCACCTTTCTCTCAGGACTCTTGTAATGTTCTGCAGCTGAATGCTTAAAAAATGCTGATGTCTTTGATAAAATCAACAGATTTTTCACTTTTATTGCCCAGTTAAATTTCTAAGTACTTGACAGAGAACCACGGCGTTGTGATTTAAGAGTTTTCAGGGAAGCTTCATTTCAGATGAAGTTAGAGGAACAGCCAGAGGCCGAGAGCAGAAGCAGGAGGAGCCTGATATCCTGTGACTTTGGTTCAGGTGAGTTTAAAAGTGTTTTAACAGGAGCCTGCTTTTTTCTCAGAGAGATGAACAATCTCTGAAACGTCTAACCGCTTTAAAAAGTTTCACACAAAGTCACTTAAAGTTGTCCTACAGGCTCCGTGTTGTTCTCTTAATTCTACAACTACCAAGTGTTGTCAACTTAAAAACGCCTTCCAAAGGCTCTTTAAAATCTTCTGCTAATACCGCTGAACAGGTCTAATGTTAAAAATCAAAAGTGAGACTTTTCTCATCTGTCTTCTTTAAAACTACAGGGAGGAATCTGACCTTTGACCCTCCCTCTCTGGAGCAGCGTCTGCTCACCTGTTCTGTTTTCGTGTTATTCCTGTGTTAGTGTGTTTTGTGAGTTTCAGACTGCAGTGCACCTTTAACAGGATCCACAAAAAACTTCTCCAGCTACACTTCTTCTGAGCGGAGGAACCTTCCAGCTCTCCCTGAAGAAGAAGAAGGCTCCTCGGGTTGGTGGCTGACGTGTGTTGGAGCCCGTATCACAACTGAAAAGCTGGTGGGTGTTTCTAAGTGGGGTCTGTTCGCTGGTGACGGGTGGCGTCTATTCACAGGCGAAGTAGTCTTTCAGAGGTGCGAAGAGATGCCTGATGACGGGGACGCTCCAGGACCGGCCCAGGAGCTTCTGTCGGGCCCCGCGACCCATGTTGGACACGTCTGTGTAGTGGACTGGGAAGCCAAAGATCCTGCAGGACAAACACAACCACCATGTTGGTCAGAGAGATGTTTAACCTTATTAAAGAAGTTCTTTAATAGAAATTTAAGATGCTCTGACTCTTAGAGGCAAAATCAGCTGTTTTGGAGGGTTATTTAAGACGGACTAAACCTGAGACTGGATCCCTCAAAGTGATTGTGATGCAAACAGACAGACAACATAAGAGGAAGGCTTCCTGTAGAGGAAGACCTTTGTGTAGAGAGTTAGAGACTGCTGCTGCATTTCTATCTGCAGCGCCAACAGACAAAAACATTTATCCTCAGAATAAGTGAGTTTCTGATCGAACACAACCTTAGCTGGTGACTTTGTCTTTTCTATGTGATGCAAATACTAAACTCATTAATACAACACAACATTAATCCAACTAATACAGTATTAAGTCATCCACAGAACTCACCTTGCTGCACATAGAATACATAAAACGGGACTTATAGACACAGATATTTGCTCATAATGTACACTAAACACTGCAGACACTTGTTACCATGCCATGTGGCTCCGCCCCCAGTACAAACTTTCTGGGAGGGGGTCATTAATAAATGTCATCACTCTTGGGATGCTGCCCTCCACTGTCCCCCTCACGCTGTTTACTCGGGGACCTCACAGCAATTAGCCCAGCACCCAATAATACCAGACCAATACTTGTGGCCATAACCACTGTGAAAAAGACCATGAACCCAAGCTAAGTGCCCAGACTATGACCTCTGCGTATAACCACACCACGTCCTATCACTTCACCCATTTACCGGAAAAGTCTCCCATTTGGAAAATATCAGGGTTAATCTGGCTAATCTGAAATTTTCCTCAAATCTGTAGGGGTGCAGAAAAATCCAGTACTTCCTAATCTGTCCTAGATGAGCCTGAACATCTGGAAAAGAGACCTGGATTAGAAACTACTCTTGGTCCTGCTCACCTCTCCAGCTCGGTGCACCACAGTATGTCCTCCTTCCCGTTCATCAGGACCGGAAAGTGTTGATCCTTCCCTTGTTTGATGGAGTTGGAGCGGGTTGTGATCGTACGCACTTTACCAAACTGTGAAGCGATGAACGCACCGTCAAACAAGTGCAACACATGAGCTCATTTTCCAAAGCGAAAACCGCGATTCATGGACCTCGTTCTCTTACCTTTGCGACCCTGCCGTGTTCGAGACAGTCCTGCAGCTCCAGCTTGTCCATCCCAGAGGCGCAGAGAGGCCTGAAACAAAAGGAAGAAGAATCAGGTTAGAATATCGTGAACACTGCATCTAAAGTTTGTGTTCTTGTCCTCCAGATGTTACCTGTTCATGCCCGGCAGGTTTCCCCAGAAGTATCGAGCGCGATGAGCCGCTGAGACCTCGATAGCATCGATCATAACAGGGTTACACTGAAAAGAAACAGATCACAATAAACAGTTTTAAACGTGTCGTCTGTAAATGGATTAAAGGTTTGTTTTCATCCTCCCGTCATCGTGACCCACCTCCAGGAACCTCGAGATGTCCCTCTTGTCGTTGACCCCCATGGCGACCACGTTCTCGAACATCCAGAAGAACGGACGGTCCTCTCCTTCTTTGGGCTTCGCTTCACTCAGCAGGCGGTAAAACTCGAAGAACAGCCTCCCTGTACCTTCTGGAGCAACAAAACTCACTCAGGATCACGAGGAAACGCAAGAACGACAAAGAGCGTCCAGGCGGACCGTGTTTCTTACCATAGAGGCCTTTCCTGGCAGGGTTAACGATCGACAGGTCGTTACAGGGACTTCCTCCAATCACCAGGTCAAAGGGACCCCACTCCAGCAGCTGAGAACCACAAGAGCACCATCTAGTGTTAGATTCAGAGAACAGCAGAAACAGTCGCGCGTCTTCAGACTCAAACCGAGCTGAAGAAGTTTTATCTTCATCTCATCACTGAAACTTCATGATCACTGAAGATTCAGGAGATTTATCACTTAAAGTTTCCAAAAACTTCTATTACGATCCAAACTGTCCTCTTCCACTTTAAAAACCAGGATGTGCAAAGATGTGTTTTTATCTTTATGTTGCATAATTTTGTTTGAGGCATAAATCTGTTTAAAATAAAGAAAAGGGATTTATTCAAAGTGAGACTTTCTCTGCAAGAACCACAAATAAAGACGGAAAAACACAAATCTGTCAAAACTTCAGATGACTGAATTTCCCTCATAGACTCATCAGTTAACTCACTCAGGTTTGTTAACACACAGTTCATCATTTAACCAACAGCATGTTCACCGCCTCAGCTCTTCAACCTTCTTCTTCTTCACAGACACCAGAGTCCGTTTTCAGAGGACTTAAAGGAACAAAGAGGAAGGACAGAGGAGGTGACGGCGGGATGCTCTAAACCTCTTACATAACACACACACACACACTCACACTTACACACACACACACACACACACACACACACACACACTCACACACACACACACACACACACACACGTGCACAATGTGACTAAGAAGTGAAAGGGTGCAGAGGGGATTTACTGAAGTTGAAGCACTTCTTTGTCCTCGGCTCGGAGCCACGTCAGTGCAGCTGCCATCAGCTTTTTTCACGTTCGATAGATTGACGCCGCTCTCATGTCTGATCTGTCATGGCTGCCGGGCCGTTAATTACGATAATTGTATTTTTAAATCTACTTAAGAACAACGAGATATCTCTTAGATTTATGAAAGAGAGCTAACCTGAACCAGACAGAGAAATTCTGTTCTGATATCAACCCTCCACCTTCATCCTCTCTCCTCTGCCGAAGGTTTAGATCCAACAAGATCAAAACAAACTGATTCATCTGTACGGCGATACGTTAATTAAACAAAAAACGGAGCTGCAGAGAGTGAAAGAGGACCTGAATACGGGTTTGTGTTATATTTATGAGTCCACAATAATGATCATGCAGACCGCGAGGACAGCAGCTCCTGTTCCTGTGGTTATTCTGAGTGTTTCATCGATTTCATCTCCAAGGAAGTTTGTTTCTTTTTTTCTGTTTTTGTGAATTTTTCTCAGTTTTCCTCATAATTAAGCTCCTGAAATTAAACAGCGAAGTACAAGTCAGTGAAACAATTTCTTGCATTTTGTATAAAAGCTTTTTTTCCTCTTTGTGCATGTCGGAGAATTTAACCGACTCTCTGTGCGTCATGGAGTCCTCTGTTCCACTGTCCTCCTCTGTGAGTCGTTTTATTTAGCAGTTTAAAAACACTAAAACTTCCTCCAGACTTTAGCATCATGTGTGTTTCAGCATCGACTGTGTCTCTACTGAGTTACATTTGAGTCTAATAATCTTAAAAAAAAAACAGACGACTGCACAAGAGCGACTTCATGTTCATCTTTTAGTTTTAAAGCGCTGGTTCAGCTTCACAGTTTCATCAGAAAGCGTTTTCACCGCTGCAGCTGCTGGTTTGACTCCTCACCTCGACCCTCTGCTTCATGTCTACAATCACCGACTTCATCCTTTGTCTCTCTCGGACTGTCGTATCCAATAAAGTCCAAAAAGCCTCATAAATAACTCAGATTTCTCTCTGTTAAATTTGGTTTAATCACCTCAAACACAGACAAAGCCTGTGAGGTCAGAACAGACGTTTTCAGATCATAAGCAGAGCAGAGTTTCAGTGTCGTTGAGTTCATGTAAATGTATTTCTGGGACAGTTTTTGGCAGGTAGGTGGGCGTATTCACGTTGTCATATTTTCAAAAAAACCTCAAGTCCTAAATGAGTCACACATTCCTCCTACGAGCTCGGCGCGTTAAAGTTCCCACCGCAGAGAAACCGCAACATGTAGCTGAAAACAAAGAAAGGCCATTTCGATGCTTATCTGATGATTCACGAGTGTTTAAGGTGTGCTTGATTCATCTGCCTCGACACCCGAGCTCCTCTCGAAGGCCGTAAATCACTCAGACGGCGTTCAAAACACAAGACTATCAAAGCTTCACACGTGTAAACACTCAGTTTTAGGAAGTTTGGATCCACATGAGACGAAGCGCCACTCCAGGACGACTGCGATCATGTTCCCCGACACTTTAAAACCGTCCGGATAATAAAATCAGAGGATTTGATTTCTGTCTTACGTTTTTCTTGGTGATGTTCCTGACATCGTGGACGTACTGGATCCTTCCTTCATGTCTGACAACCCCGACTGAGATCGAGTCCTCGCACACCTCTGAAGCCACGTACTGGTCCACCTTAAAACCCAAATCCCTCAGAACCAGGTAGCCTGAAAACACAGACAGAGACTTCACATGAACACCTGCTGCTTTTATTCTTTATATTTAACACTTAAAATTTACCCACACTCGTTCACCTCGTGTTCACAAACGGTTCATCTAATTAAAAGTGCAGTAAAAACATTCATATTTTTTTTACTTTTAATCAGATCTTGTCAACAACTTCAGACCTATCCATAGATTCAAAGTTTATTATAATTTTTAATATTTTTTCAGGTTTTTAATCTTTTTTGTCGTGAGAATCACAGATTTTTTTTAATGGGAAAAACACAAAATATGTAATATTTCCAAAAATGAGGTGCAAAGTGAAATATTTTTGATAAAGTTATAACAGCCCTGACCATGTCAATAATCGATAAAAGTATTGATTTTAATGCATTATTATTTTTGGCACAATGACAGTTTTCAGTATAAACGAACACTTGTTAACCTCGTGGCCACAAACGGTCAGTCTCATAAAAGTTCAGTTAAAACATTATACTTTATTTTTTTAACTTTTAAATAGATGAAAGCCTTGTTTGGTGAAAGCATCTGTACACACAGATTATACTTTTATACAGATTTATACCTTTATACTTATTGCACATAACCTTTATATTTTATTTTATATGTTTATACTTTTATTCTTTTATACTTTATATATTTCTTGCATGCTCTTCTTAGTTTTTATTCTAGTATTTTAAATTACTCTCTGTTTATTGTTGCACCATCACGCCAAACAAATTTCTAGTCTGTGAAACCTGTTCATCGACAATGGCAATAAAATAACTTCTGATTCTGAGATCTGCAAAAATGAGTGACTAAACTGCAGTTTGCATGTCAGGCCAGTAGTGGGCACTGGAGGACACCACGGTCCTGTGTATGAAGGGGTTATGAGCAGAGGTGAGAGTGAGCTCTACGACTGGGAATGCTGGGAATTCTCCAGTTTGATAAGATCTGAGCAGCAGAAGATTCAGCTGCTGTCTCTGAGAAAACTGGTCCACCATCATCACAGACGGTTTTTGGAGACGAGCAGATGAACAAAGTCCAGATCTATGAATCATGCTCACCTGTGGCAATGCCGTCAAACAGAGAGAGGACTCTGATTGGTCGTCTCTGCTCTGCAGGGACTGCTGGGTAAATCTTTGGTGTCTCCTGTGAAATAAACAGAGGAAGAAAAAGAGGGTTTTAGAAATGGAGGCGGTGTTTCAGTGTTGTTGGTCTCTTCTGGTGTCAAAGGTGTTTTATTTTGAGGACCAATCAGGAGTGTGAACGTCGTCTAGGTTTGTTGTTTCATGAAAATATGAATGAAAGACGCGACGAAAACTCAGAAACTCTCTTTGTACAAGATTAAATCTGGACTTTCACACCGAATGATGAAGTCTGGACTTGACCTCGATCCCTGAACTCTCACAGCAGCTCATGAATAAAATCGTACGGATCAGTGACTCACAAATTCCTGTCCGTAGTCGTTGGCGAAGAACTCCTGCAGCTTGTGGTTCCAGTCGTGCCGCCGTTTCAGCACGCCGTACTGCATCAGCGGCTGGCACATGTAGCATCTCCACGGGTCCAGGTAGCGGGCGTTGTTGGACGCTCCGGGATCGACCAGGATGTCCAGACAGTCCACGCAGAAACACCTGAAGGAGGAAATGATCCGATATGATACCATACAGTATATTATAATTAGATACGATTCTACGATATGATTTGATAGGATACATTCTGATTCAGAAACAACGAGGAGAAAGATGGGAATTCAATTCTGGATATTTTCTTATGGAATCTTTAAATTTTAATCTCTCACATTGTTTCCATGTTTCATCCTGCAGGATATCTGCCCACAACACACATACCTAAACAACTGTACAGCTGCTCTGATTTAACCGTCATTATTGTGAGTTTTTATTGTTATACTGTCAAAAACTTTTTTTTTTATTCTGCTTTTATTTAAACTTGTTTGTGAAAACCTTTTCTCTGTACATGCACGTGTGTGTGTGTGTGTGTGTGTGTGTGTGTGTCTGTAACCGACCTGCAGCAGTTGACGTTGCCGCAGAGGAGGACCTCTCGACCTCCGCAGCAGACGGTGCAGTAGGACTGATAACCGTCGTCGTCGTACATGTAGGACATCTCCAGGTAAACGTCCTGAACGAGTAAAAACAGAGAGGAGAGAAAGAAAATCAGAATTAAAATGAAAATAAATAAATCTGAAGAGAAACGTGCAGCAGGAGGACAAAGACAGTGAAGTTCTTGTATTCTGTTTCCCTAAAGTTTATGATCAGTTCATCACTTCTGTTTTTTATATTTCTTCACAGTTTCTACTTTCACTGTTATTTAAATGTCAGAAAATGATTCAACCGTGAGCCAAAACAGAGGTGGGATTAACTGTACCTCATATATATATACTGGATAAATGAGAACACTTTGTCTACAGGGGGCGCCAAAATCAACATGTGCTGATGTTACGACTGTTTGTCAAAGAACTTTGTAAACTTCTGTTTTAAAAAAAGTTATTATTGTTGGAAGTTAAATTAAAAACGTTCGACTGCGGTGTGATTCTTCGGATGTTCATGTCAGTGAAAATCTGTTGCGTCCGTGTCGGCGTGTTTTTCTACCTTGCACGTTTGGCACAGGCCTCCTTCAAAGAGCGGGTGGAAGGTCGCTGCCTTCATCTTTCCACAAGAGAGACAGAAATCTGAGCGAGAACACAAACACATCAGTCATCAGGAGCTCGGGTCGAATTCTGTTCAATAACCGACACAAACCGATGGTGATCCTACCTTCTATACTTCTTTTATTCTTCAGAACTTCATTCACCATTTGTTCTGAAACACAGGAAGTACAGAGATGATGATGATGATGATGATGATGAACCAAAGTTTGAGAGAGTGGGACAAAAACACGGTGAGTGGGCCTCGTACCTCTGCTGTAGGACTCTTCAGGAGCGGCTTTGCTCTTACAGAGACTGACTCTGGGCCGCTTGGCGCTGGGGAAATACTCCGGCAGGGCGACGTCGAGGACCTGGTGGTCCAGAGGGTTACTGTCTGTGGAGAAGCACAAGAACAGACTCTCATTTCAGAGTTTTCTTCTTATCTAAAGTTCAGAGTGTTAGGGTCCGGTTCTGCCGCCTCGCTCACCGGCCGTGTGCGTTGGTTTGAGTCCCTCCTCTCCTTTGGGCAGGAAGCCCTCGTTAGCCCAGTCCAGCATGGGTTTGACCTGGTCCTCGGGGTTATCCGACACACAGGGAGTGAACGTCTTCTCCGCCCGGATACTGGCCATCTGTGACAGAGGTGAAGAGAGGCGAAATGTGAGGGAGAGGCCGACTGAAGGGGGCGCTAACGTCCCCACAAACCAACACCGCATGAGACGAACGCGAGGATTTGACAGCACAGGACACGGACTCCACATCTACAGAGTCAGACCTGATGGACCCTGACTCACCTCCAGAGCTTGGAAGATGGCCCTGCGGTAGGACGCCAGCTTGGTGTAGGACGCCTGGCTGAAGAACTTGGGGAAGGCGGTGATGGAGTCCAGTTTGTCCGCGGAGACCTTGAATAAAAACCACAATGTTTTTAAGAATAACATCCCTCCCTCCGTCCCTCCGTCCCTCCCTCTTTCAGTCCACCTGTGTTTATTTTCCTCCTCACCTCAGAGAACTTGCCGTCTCCGAACCACTGCAGCCACCTCATGCCGTGGCTCGCCTGCCGTTTGCCGGTGGCGCGCCACGTCACCACGATGCCGGGCCACCAGGAGAAACCCTTGATCTTCCCCCACACCAGCTCGCCAATACCGAAACCTTTATTATCCTGCAGGGAGGAGAGAGAGAGAGAGAGAGAGAGAGAGAGAGAGAGAGAGAGAGAGAGAGAGGGCAGGGTCAGGGAGAGGAGGAGAGGAAACAACATACTTTAGAAGATTCTCCTCCTGAAGAAACCAAACAGACACAGACACAGAGTTTTGAATCTGACGTCTTGTTTTCGCCTTTTTAAAGTGAAGAAGAATTAGAGATGAGTAATAAAAGAGTCTGGACGTGGAGGTTTCTTGTCTTGGATGGAGATGTAAAAGAAAAAAAAGGGAAAAATAAAGTAAAAGATTGAATCTGACTGACTTTAACGAACCAAAACTCCTCCTTTTTTAACCGCTGAGCCAAGAATCACAAAGATAAAGATAAATATGATTAATATCAGGAGAGAGATCTGTGTTAAAGGGTTAGTTTAGCAGAGGTAAATAAATCCTGTATTTGATAAAGACTGACCTGACCTCAAACCTGATCGCTCTCTAATCAAAGTTTGTGTTTTTCTCTTTAAAGTTTTGATCTTAAAATGAGTTCATGGTCTTAATTAAGAGTCTTTTTAGTCTTCTTTGATAAAACAGGATAGTCGTTTTGGAAGATTAAAGCGATTAGTTTCACCATAAAACCAGTTTCTACAGCTGTTAGAAGAGGGAGAAAAAAATCCATCTACATAAGTATCGCAATTTTCTGTTTTACAATTTTTAAAAATCGATTTTAAGGTTCAAAAAAAAATTTTTGTTTTTCATATTTAAGAATAAATCTTAAAAACTGACTGACATGTGATGTGAATTTTTGGGGGAATCTGGTTCCTGGAATATTTAGAAGACGATCATCATCGTTTAACCGTTTCACTGGAGTTAAAAATACTGAATAAAGATCGAGAAAATCAACAATATCGTAGAATCGCAATTTAAATCGAATCCGCATCCAAAAATCGTAGAAGAATCGAATCAAGAGAAATCTTCACTTTGGCATGAGTCAGTCAGCAGCACCTGTCTGAAGGTGCGTTGCTGCTGCTGCTGTTGTTGTCGTCGTCGTCGTGTTGTTGCGTGTTTGCTCAGGTGTTTCCTGTCTGTCTGACTTTCAGCAGAAGAATCTTTAAAGAAAACATCGAGCGTTCCTGATAAGACCTGAAGTTTTCTCTCCGCCTTTCTTCGCTCTCAGGTTTTATACTCGCCGCTTTATGAGCAGGTGGGATTTCTATGCTTGCAGACAAATCCTAGTTGAGCCGGCCTAAAGAGAGAAAACCCATTAGGGCTTTGTACGGGAGTCAGGCGCCATTAAAGGACGCCACGCTCTGCTGAGTTCAGCCGCGCTCAGTGAAAACACACACACACACACACACACACACACACACACACACACACAAAAGTACAAGCAAACAGAGGATAACAGAGCTGTATAAGTATGCAGGGAGCGTCTCAAAACACGTAAACACACACACACACACACACACACACACACACACACACACACACACACACACACACACACACACACAGGCCCTGCTGTGGTCATCCCGGCCTGAATGAAACTATTGATAGAGAGCAAACACAGTCAGTGTTTGTGGACACCTGCACCAACACAAGGCCAGGTGGAGGAGGATCTGAGGTTCCCGTCTCTCCTTTCTGTCGCTGCCAGACCTGAAAGTATTCACCGCCTCCTGCTGCGTCCACACGGCGCTCTCACTCTCTGATTTACTTTCACATTAAATACTCCACGTCTGTCTCTGTTTTAGTATTATAATGACTTTAATAACATTCATTTTAGTCTCTAATTATTTCATGTTGAATCATAATGTGAGAAAACAGAAAATGTTTGTCATGATTAAATTTAATGACCCACACTTGACCAAAGACTTCAGACTTTTTCTCTTCTTATTCTTAAACAACGACACGTCAAAATAACCACGACAGCGAGCGCTCAGCTTGGCGTGTTTCAGTCCTTCCCTGTCTCCTTTCTCTTTCCACACTTATATTTTATCCACCTTTATATATAACGCTCTGATTTCGTTGTCATGGTTTCCTGTGCACAATCAAGGCGAGAAAACAGCAGACATGACCGACGTGGATGAAAGGTGGAGTAGGTTAAAGAAATCTGTTAGAGAAGCATCTTTTTATTTTGTGTTGTTTATACAAAAACTCTTCTAATATCAGTCAATAGTTATTAGTTATTGATGATATTTGGGAATATAACGATATCTCTGTGTTCGCCCAAACAAAGTTAGCGTGCTACAATATCGGACAGTAGAAACCAACCAGAAAGTTCGGAAAATTGTCTGAATCCTCCTTTGGCCACGACTGCCGACACAAGCAAGAAAACAAAGTAAATACCGGAGACTCTGGAGGAATAACGGGCGCTTAAAACCGGTGCTAAACTGTTGACCTCGAGTCTTGGACTTTCTGAATTTAACTGGAACGATATCACACACACTCACACACACTCACACACACACACGCTCTCACACGTCTTACATTGTACTCTGGCTGGATCTCAGAGCTGGACGAGGTACTGCTGCTCTGGGCCGAGTCCTTAGAGTCTTGTTCCATCAGATCCAGACGAGGGGCCTCAGGGACCCCGCCGGACACAACAGCAGCCCGAGGAGCGCCGCCGCACTGAGGGACAGAGAGAGAGAGAGAGAGAGAAGAAGACTTTAATGTTTACGAGCAAAAAGAAGCACTTTAGTTTTGTCTGTAAAGAAATAAACCTCTTCTTCTTCTTCTTCTTTTTTCTCTTGTGTTGAAAAGGTTAAATCCACAGGAGTGTAAAAGAGGAGTGTGTTTATTTTTACAACCTGGGTACAACCACGCGTTCATGGTTTCAGGCTGAGCAGCAGGATGTGGGAGAGTCCAAACAAAGCTGAACCCACTGACCTGTCTGTTTTATTTTTCCACTGCATTGTAAAATCGGAGCGCCGCAAACTCCAGCGAGCGCCGAGGTTCAGAAGGAGCACGCAGCGGCTCCTGTGTGTTTGTGTTTACCCCGTGGAGGAGCTTCTTTGTTTCACAGCGTGTGCTGACAAGCAGCACGTCCATCACCTGATCCGGACCTTTTGACTTTTCTTAAACCCAAATACAGACTAAAGAGACCGGCTGTGTTAATTCGTGTTTTTGCATACTTCTGTTACTGAAGGAGTTCTATCCCTGCAGGCTGCATGTTCGGAGCATATGTACCGTGGAGTTGATATGTAGGTCAGCGCTTTGATTGGCACCGGACAAAAAAGCAGGAAAATCCCTCTTTACTGCAGAGTTGGTGCTGCAGGCATTTTTTAAGAGGATTCATCACAGTGAGACACGCTGTCGAGCAGCACAGTCCATCCATGAAGAATTAACTTAAACACTTTAATAGAAAAATACATTTAACTAAAGAGAAAGAGACTGAACATGCATGGAGACAAGAATGTAGGGCTGAGAGATAAACCAAAAATTTACAGATAAAGAAATTTACAACAATAACCGACGTTATTTTGCCCAAATCTGCATTTACATCCTCTAATGTTTACATTTTAAGGCGTCTTTATTATCCCTGAGGGAATGATTTGATTATTTTGGGTTTTGAAAATTGATCAATAATGTTTGTCTTATTGATCGACCTTAGTACTATTATTAGAAATCAATTTTAGGTCTTTTGGTCACATGAAGCTATTGAAGGAAAACAGCCTTTTCTGAGAACATCAACCGGTAATTTATTGACGTCCCCGTGTAAACCTCGAGGTGTAGCTGGAGATATCCAACCTGAAACTAACTTCAGCTCTGATCTGGGTCTGATCTCATTGGATGGAGCTCAGTCTTGAGATCACATGGTAGGGAAGTAGCTTCATACAAATAAAGATCAGCAGGTGTGACCAGTTATCCAGGTGAAAACCCAGAACTACATCTGAGCAGCCAAATGGAAAATGTGCATTATGTTTAATTATTACTCATATCTGCAGGGGGTAAAACAAAGCTCTGTGTGTGTGTGTGTGTGTGTGTGTGTGTGTGTGTGTGTGTGTGTGTGTGTTTACCAGGGACATGCCGTGCTCCTGTTTGCGGTTCTGTCTGCGAGGTTTGTTGTGCGTGTGCGGCGTCAGACCGGCCTGGAAGATGGTCCGGGGTCGGGGAGTCTGTCTCAAACTCAGCTGAGACGCTCCTGAAGACTTCTGCTGCGGAGATAAAAACACAGAAGAAGAAGAAGAAGAGTGAGGATCATGTTTATGTTTGACTAAAGGAGAATTATTGACACCCTCCACGGACTGAAGAAGGAGAGTTTAGTGGTTCTTTACCTCACTGTAGGAGTCCCAGGTACTTTCCTCCTCCTCTAACCTCTTCCTGCTCCTCTTCCTGTTTCCTCTCGTACACTGGTTACCATCTGTGAAGACGAGGAGAGCGAGGGATGAACAGAAGGTCAGACAGATGGCAGAGGAGAAACTCAATATGTAAGACACACTTTGTTTCTGGACTTTTGTAGGAGCAAAATTTTGACAAATAAGACGGTCTGTGAGTCTTACTGTTGGAATAAAACATGATTGATCAGGTTTACTCTGTTTAATTATGATAGAAAGAATCAATAATGGATTTAATGTCAATAATCATCTCCTGTTACCAGTCACTGATGAGTTACCTTGAGGTGAAGCGGCGCCTCCGTTCAGCTTGGGGCTGAAGGGGGAGGGCGGTTCAGCCGCAGTCAGAGGGCTGTTCTCATTGGTCAGCTCCACACCGCTGTCGTTCTCTGATAGGCCCTCAGCTGGAGGCGTGTCTCCGTTTACCGGCGCCTGAGGATGAAAGATAGATGAGCTTTAATTAAAGCTCCTGTGAGAAACTTCTAGTTTGTGTCGAATTTGGCGCCCCCCTGTGGACAAACAGTCTGATCAGCCGCAGTATTATCTTACAACCACAAATTTCATCCCGCTGACTCCTGATGGTCAAATGTGGTATTTGTTTGTTTGTTACAGACGTATATGTGCGACTTTATGGAGCAGTGTTAGCAGGGAAGCTAATGCTATGTTCCAGTTTTACTCAGAAGTCGGAAATACTTCTACAACGCCCCCCCAGAAGTCGCATTTCTGACTCAGAAAGTTCGACGATCCTCACAAACCCCGACTTGACGACAACGTCATCATCCAAGATGGCAGCACGGGCATTAACAGTAAGGAGTAACAGCGAATCTTTTGTAATGCTTTATATTTTAAGCACTACTTCTTTTGTTTTTGGGAAATTTAATTAGTGGTTTTTGTTGTACTGCCCAACATCAAACTGTGAACATGATACTATGGTGTAAGTAAGAGTAAAATACTCAGTTTTAAATTGTTTACAACTGGTATCGCTAACAACGGCTAATGACAGCTGACAACTGTAAACAATAGCTAACAACAACTGACAATTGTAGACAACCGCTAACAACGACTAACAACTGCTAACAACAACTGACGATTGTTAACAACAGCTAAAACCCGCTAGCAACAGTCGACAACCGCTACCTACAGCTGACAACTGCTAACAACAGCTGACAACGGCTAATGACAGCTGACAGCAACAAACAACAGCTGACAAGTGTAAACAACAGCTAACAATAGTGCTCCATCTTGGTTGACGTAACGTCATTCTAAGTTCCAACATCCGACTTTCGTTGTAACTGGAACGAGCAAAAGTTACAGAAAACTGTAGCCGAGCTTTCGTACCGTCGACTCGGACAGGTTTTACTACAGAAGCAGAACTTACCTGCTTCTATTGTGGCTAAAACAGAACTCATATAACTCCCCTTTAAGGATATCCCTTTAAGACGTCCCTCAGAGCCGACAGAGTTTTCATGCCGTGAGCTGCACTAAGTTTTTGGTGGATCCTGGTCCCTCCAGCTTTTGTAGGAGCGTGTCATGAACAGGTACCCTGAAGCCAACCACGCTCTGTCATCTAATTTACTTTATTTCACAACAGAGCAGCTCAGCTGTCAGCCCACCCAGAGCTCTGTTTGATCTGCTTTAACAACATGAAGTCATCAAAAACCCACAATTGACTCTTTCTTTTCTCCATCAGGTCCTCGATCCTCCGGAGAGTAAACACCAGATCCTCATGATGCTGCGATTAAACTGTCACATGATAGTCCTGTAATTATACGAAGCCAAATTATGAGTAATATGCAAAGTTGGGGCTCAGAGTGGAACCTGTCGGATCATGGCTGAACATCCTGAACTTTTCATCCCCGAAGCGCAACAGATGATTGCTCTGGCAGACACTTTTGATGACTTTCCAACTGGGCCGCCTTATTACAAAAGCCTTTAGGTAACTAAGAATATCCGTGTGTTCGCTCAGGAGCCGTTATTTGGATCAAAAATTTTCTCATAAGTTGAGAAATTCAAAGTCTTTCTGCCCGTTTTGCATCTTCACTCACAGGCCGGTGAAAAGCAAACCCACTGACGGAGGGAAAACGTCCTGCAGGGCGTAAATATCTTCAGCTACATGGAGTCCACGCCTCTTCCTGTCAGGGGAGGAAATATTCTCCTGCTCAGAAAAAGGTGCTGAAATCATAAAATAAAAAATGAACCCGACACATTCGGACAAAAACAGAGATCTGTCAGGAACTCTGGCACCCGAGGAACCGAGAACAAGACAGTAATAACAGAGCAGATGATAAATCTGAGGGGAATTAGCTGCTGGTGTCGGTGAGTCAGGACCTGAAACGCTTTTATCTGAGTGTCTCTCTGCATCACTTCTCTGCAGCCACGTGAAACCAGCTCGCTGTGTTTTCACCGCCGAGCGCACACTCGGCTCAGCTCTGTTTGGACTTGAACTTGTGACATTCCACTTAAAGATATGATTCCAGCTAATCTCCCCCTGACACCCGCTGGAGACGGGACACAAAAGACGCCGAGTTCTTAATGTACTTCAGCTACACCTCCAGGTTTACACGGGTCTTTATACGTGTTACAGATCCTGGGAGGAGGTCGAGCTGGGTTTAGACCGACTCAGGTCTAACATGGAGATCCTCAGAGAGAAGACCAGTTCTAGAGGTTTTATGTCTATAAACACTCCCAACAGGTTAGGGCAGTTAAGAAGTCACAGCAAACTGCAGAAATAACTTATTTTTTATATTTTATACCAAACGCAGTCACAGCCTGTTTAGATGCAAACAAAACAACCGGGAAAAACGTGGGAAAGAGGCTAACAGTGAAAAAACTGACATCTGAGTTTGATTCCAAGCGACAAAAGCCCTAAATTAAACCTTTAAAAGTGAAGTCCATTTAACATTTAGAGCTCCCCCTAGTGACTGGTTCCAGTATAGGTCCCAAACCCCGCCTTCTCCATGTAAACAGATGGGAAATTTCTGAAAGTATCATAGAAAATTATTATTAAACTGATTGATGTTGAAGTGAAGTTTTCTATTGTTATTTGACATGAAAAAGAAGTGTTGGTGATGCCATGATTGACAGCTCTGTCGACCAATGAGGCTCAAGCAGTGCTGTGTGTACCTTATTATTAGAGCACAGCAAAAACACTGAACACAAGAACCAGTTTTAAAGCGGACTGGACCATCGGAGGGAGCTTTAACTTTCATTCGTGGGTTAAATCTGAGAATCCTTTTACAACAACAATAACTGCCAGTGGGCGGCCCAGGGTTCGATGTTAGCCTTTCCCACATACATATTCATATTCATTGGCCTTTGTGTCTTCTCACAGTAAAGGTGACTAAAGCCCAAAACTCTACCTTTAAAAGTGAAGTCCAAACATTTAGAGCTCCCTCTAGTGACTGGTTGCAGTATAGGTCCCAAACCCCGCCTCCTCCATGTAAACAGATGGAAAATTTCTCAAAGTTCATATATTTTTTCTCAAACAGGATTTTATTATCATAGTAAATTGTTATTAAACCCCCCCAATGCGACGTTGAAATGACATCTATTTAACATATTTTTTGATGATGAGGTACAAATGTAAACGTCACTTCAACGTCTAAAAGAGGTCCAATAATGACGTCTAAATCTTGGATCCATTTTGCACGTTGTGCCGACGTCTAAATGTGGTCTTTGATGGACCAACCCAATACTGACTTGATCTGCACGTCTCGTCGACGTCCGATGTTTAATGGGCTGATTAATGTTGAAGTGATCAAGTTTTTGTTTATTTAATGCTGAAAAAAAAGGGGTGGTGATGCCATGATTGACAGCTCTGTCGAACCAATGAGGCTCAAGCAGCGCTGTGTGCACTGTGTGTACAACAGCCCGAGTCTTCATGAATTGAGGCTCAATTTCATGACATTGTGGTTTCATCCAGTAACTGTTTCAGATTCTGTTGAAGCGTTTTCTGTCAAAACTGAAAGTATAGAGAGGAGAGGGACGGAACAGCTGTGCAGCAGATGGAAAAACATCGCTGCTGACTCTTTACGCTTACTTTCCCTACATGTTAGGGATCGTTAAACGCTGTAAAAACAGGGAATGTATGCGGTCTGTGAGGCCAAATCTCCACTGTAATTAATGAACTCGGTGAACTCGTGAGTGAAGTGTGCGCTCAAGATGTTTGAGAGTGGAGCGCTCTCAGGGAGGAGAAGAGGAGAGCGGGGTCAGCAGGTTCAGCGATGACGTTATGATTCGTCTTCTAGAAGACATGGACGTTCAGAGGGTCTGAAAACTTGAAGAAAAGTCTGAACAGAGACAATCTGACCTGAAGAAAGGAAAAGGAGGTTCAGGATGGAAGAAGGATGAAGAGTGTTTACAAAATCTGATGGAGTAAAACTGACGGTTCAGAGACGAAGCAGCTAAAGGGGCGTGTCCGAGCGTTTAACTGAGGTCAGGTCACCCCAACAAAACGTGAACTACCGTTAACTTTTCCAGCGTGTCAAACCTGAGGAACAAAGGACTGAGGGAGGCCGAGAGTGGAGACAGATTTAGAGAGAAAGAGGAGAGGAGGAGGTGAGCGGAGGTGAGGAGAGGTGAGGAGTGAGTGCAGAGCAAACAGAGAGGGACGTCCGCTCAACAGGAGGAGATGAGAGATGAGTGAAAGAGAGGGATAAGAGAGAGAGAGAGAGAGAGAGAGAGAGAGAGAGAGAGAGAGAGAGAGAGGAAAAGAGAGGATAAGAGAGAGAGAGAGAGAGAGAGAGAGAGGAGAGGATAGGAGAGAGAGAGAGAGAGAGAGAGAGAGAGAGAGAGAGAGAGAGAGGAGAGGATAGGAGAGAGAGAGAGAGAGAGAGAGAGAGGATAAGAGAGAGAGAGAGAGAGTGAAAGAGAGGATAAGAGAGAGAGAGAGGGAGAGGGAGAGAGAGAGAGAGAGAGAGACGCAGGGTTTAAGGAGACTTTCATAAAAGTTTCAGGACTTCTCCATCACACTTCCTCAGATATCTTCAGGGTTTTAAAATCTGAACAAACACTTTATTTTACTTCTAGACTTGAAGTACAGACTGTAAACAATTTTTCTATTTAAGTATTTAAGTATTTTCTTTTCTGTGTTGTGGATAGACTCTTTTTCACTGTATCTACAGACGCCACATCTTCACCAACATCCAGAGTTACTGCCTCAGTTTCCCGATATATCCCTGTTTTTTTAAAGGCAATACAACATCAACATGATCCCTTAAATGTAGGCTGCTTCTGCAGGGTTTGTGGGCTGTAGTGGCATCTCTTTGTAGGACTCTACTTTAACTCTTTGCTCAAGAAGTTACATGAGTTGGAACGGCGTGTGAACAAACTTTTCATCAGAAAGGAGAGGGCTGAAGCTCAAAGTAGGGACACGTGAAAACCAGGAGGAGAACTGGACGTTAGAGAGTCTGAGGTCGCTGCTGAAGGAGCTGAATACAGTTATTTTCATAAAGGTTAAGTTCTTAGGAAGTAAAAGTCAAACACGCGGCTGCAGAAAGGTGACATTTCTTTTTACCAACGCCAAAGTCTGACTCCATCCTTTCCGCTCTCCCCGTGTTCACACCGTCAGCCTTCAGACTCTACGACAAACGTCTTCCTGTCCAAAAAACATCAAAACTGTCTGTGCCTAAAACTTCAACCACACGCAGCCGCCCCAGAGTCACTCTACAGAAGGACAGACCGGGTCTCCCAGTCCTCTCTGAGCTGGATGAGGGGTCCCAGCTGGAGGAAACAGCTGTCCTGGAGCCGCCCCAGCTGTCATCATCCTCTAACCAGACCGTTAAAGATGTAAAATATGGCAGAAGGGGGGCACTCTCCGGGACCTCCGGGCTCATCTGAGTCACATCCTGACTCGTGTTTCTGCAGATTCACTCCTAAAGACTGACCTACAGGGATTAACCACGATGGAGGTGAATAATCTCCAGAACCTGAGGCTACTGCTGCATCAACCTCCATTATTGTTCCTCAGACCCCTCAGTCAAACACAGAGGCGGGCGTTCGTCTGATTTATGAGCCTTAATCACACTCTTCCCTCGTCCTTCCTGTCTCATAACTCATCTTTGGAGGCACCGGTTGGAACCGGCTCTGATGAAACATCCGGCTCAGAAAACGGACGACAAAACAAAATAATAAAACTTTGTGAGTTATCAGAGGAAACATCAACATCCTCATAAAAACCTGTTTTACTCCTGAATTAAAAAACTGTTTCAATGGATCTTTCTAATCCAAAACTGGTCTCAATATCTTGTTTTCATTATATTGAACCATCGTCCTCCATTAACCTGCCGTCCTGTATATCCATCACTCCTCCTGGTTCACTCCCATCATAACCACTGAAGCGTTCAAGGAGCACAAATGATCCTCCTCCTCCTCCTCCTGCTCCTCCTTCAGAGTCCAGATTCTGA